GAAGAATGATCTGGAACATGGAACATAAAGATGACAGATTAAGATGTGATAGAGAGGTTAATAGACATGGAGAAGGGTATGAGACTTCTGTTTCTTTCACAATCCACAGTAACAAATGTATTTTACTTGTTACTCACTCCATAGATATGTGTATAAGTATATTAATAAATACAACTGAAACAAAAGTTTCATGAAATAATACAATACACTCCAATATATTCTATTCTCGTTCTTTCTCAACACTGGTAACAATCTACTACATTGCTTTTATAAGCCACTGTTGGAAAACAACCTACAGTTTGAAAAATATTAGTTGAATAACTACTAATCACACTACAAGATGTAAAGAGTGAGAGGATAAGGTTGAGATAACATTCATTTTTATTTTTTCTTTCTTTGAGATAGGATCTCACTCTGTTACCCCAGGCTGGAGTGCAGTGGTATAATGGTTCACTGCAGCCTCAACCTCCTGGGCTCAAGTGCTCCTCCCACCTCAGCCTCCTGAGTAACTGTGACTACAGGCATGCACCACCAGGCGTGGCTAGTTTTTTTTTTGTATTTTTTGTAGAGATGGGGTTTCACCATGTTGCCCAAGCTGGTCTTGAACTGGATTCAAGCAATCTGCCTGCCTTGGCCTCCTAAATTGCTGGGACTACAGGCGTGAGCCGCTGTGTCCATCCAAGATAACATTTAAAAGAGATATTCTCACATATGATACAACATGGATGAACTTTGGGGACTTTATGCTAGGCGAAATAAGCCAGTCACAAAAGGATAAATATTGTATGATTCTGCTTACAAGAAGTACCTAGACTAGTCAAATTCATAGAGGCAGGATGTGGAATGGTGGTTGCCAGGGGCCTAGGAGAGGGAGCATGGGGAATGACCGTTTAAGGGGTACAGAGTTCTAGTTTTGCAAGATGAAGAGAGTTCTAGAGATGGATGATGGTGAGGTTGCACAACAATAGGAATGTTAATACCACTGTATACTTTAAAAAGATAGTAAATTTTATGTTATGTGTATCTTACCACAATAAAAAAGTAAAAGTAAATTAAAAAAAAAAGGTATTGTCTGAGAGTTTTCAAGAATAATGAAAGACACCAATCACCAAATTCAGAAAGCCCAAAGAATTCAAGGCAGAATAAATAAAAAGATACAGCATGAGCTGGGCTTTGTGGCTCACGCCTGTAATCCCAACACTTTGGGAGGTCGAGGTGAGTGGATTACCTGAGGTCAGGAGTTTGAGACCATCCTAGCCAACACGGCGAAGCTCTGTCTCTACTAAAAACACAAAAATTAGCCGGGCATGGTGGTGGGTGCCTGTAATCCCAGAGACTCGGAAGGCTGAGGCAGGAGAATCGCTTGAACATGGGAGGCAGAGGTTGCAGTGAGCTGAGATGGCATCACTGCACTCCAGACTGGGGAACAGAGCAAGACTCCGTCTCAAAAAAAAAAAAAAAAGATACAGCAAGGTAAAACTGTAGAACATGAGAAGAGGGGGAAAAGACCAACAACCTATGAGGGAACGATGTAAGATTGTCACTGGACTCCTGAGGAGCAATGAGGGGGAGCAGGCAAACAGTGGATGGCAATCAACTGTGCTGAGAGAGGACAGCTGTCATTCAAGCAAGGAAGCCAAAACATCTTTCAAGAACAAGGACAAGGCCAGGTGCAATGGCTCATGCCTGTAATCCTAGCACTTTGGAGGCTGAGGCTGGAGGATCACTTGAGCCCAGGAGTTTGAGACCAGCCTGGGCAACATAGTGAGATTTTACAGAAAATAAAGAAAATTAGCCTGGCATGGAGGTGCATGCTTTTAGTCTCAGGTACATGGGAGTCTGAGGTGGGAGGACTGCTTCAGCCTGGGAGATACAGGCTACAGTGAGCCATGATCATGCCACTGCACTCCAGCATGGGCAACAGAGCAAGACCTCATCTCCAAAAATAAATAAATAAAAAACAACAAAAGACAAAAACGAATGCATTTGCAGACGAACAGAAACTGAGAGTGTCTGCACCAACAAACCTACAAAAAAGTAAAATTTAAAGGATTTACTTCAGGCAAAAGGAGAGTGATCCTGTTCATGAAAGCTGAGATGCAAGAAGAAGAATAAAAATGGTAATTGTGTGGCTGAATCTAAACTAATGCTGACTGTATAAAACAATTTAATAATGTCTCCTGGGGTTAAAATGGCAAAGGTTAAACTTAACATACACTACATTAAGGTGTCTAATTTAGAGGATGGGTGATTAAAGTACTCCGAAGTCTTCATATTTTAAGGAAACAGGGTAAAGACATTTTTACAAATATTTAAACATACTGGACTTTCACAAGGTAAGCATGCATGCCCAGAATTTTCAAGTAACCACTAAAACTTAGAAATAGAGTATGTAGGTGAAGAAAATAAGAATGAGAATAAAAATAAACCCCAAAGAAGAAAGGGGAAAAAAAAGAAAAACAAAACAGGCAGGACAAGTAGAAATAACAAAATACGATGGTAGAAATAATTCCAGATATATTAGTAAATATAATAAATGTAAATGGACTAAATGCTCCAGTTAAAATACAAAGATTATTCTTCCAAGAAACCTGTGTATCATGAAAAATTTCAAGTATACAGAAAAGTGGGAGAAACAGTACAAGAAAACCATGTACCTGCGATGTCAAGTCAGCCATTGTTAGCAATTTGCCATGTTTGTTTCACCTATATTGGTATGTATAGGAGACTATTGAGAACACCTATTTTACTTTCACAGTAAACATAATATAATGAAATACAATTTAAACGGTAATCATGATGTAGAGTATCCATTTTTGAGGTCAAGCAGATCTGGATTCTCCAGCAATTTTTAATTATTTAACTTACTTGTGTGGTTATTTATTCAAAAGATGTCTCTTCACTAGGCTACAGTAAAAGGATTGGAATCAGGTTAGCTTTTCTGATCATTGTATTTCTAAATATTTATTGCATAAACAAATCGAATTTACTAGTAAAAATTCAGCACAGTGCCAGTTGCCTAATAAACATTTAACGTAGAGTAGCTTGTATTTATTGTAGCTGCTGTTGTCATTGGAAGCATTCAGCAGAGTGATACGAAATAAGCAATAATTGGTAGTTTATTATATTTATAATTATTATTTACAAGACGTCACAGTGCTTAGCCCATATCACTCACCCATAAACATCATGTTTATACTAAGTACTTTCACTATTATTCAAAGTCTCTAACAGTGCCTGGCACTACATAAGCAAGAGAAAAGTGGAAGTTTATTCTAATTGTTGTTACTGAATAAAGCATTTAACACGAGGCTGGCCCCCAGCGGACCCTTAACAGTTTTCGCGGCTGCAGTCGTAGCCGGACTACAAACCCCGCCTCCTGAGCAGCGCGAAGCCCCGCCCCTTGCTGCCCTGCAGTCCCGCCCCTTGCTGCCCTGCAGTCCCGCCCCTTGCTGCCCTGCAGTCCCGCCCCTTGCTGCCCTGC